TTAGTATCAATGAAACTGTAGTTAATCGAATTGGGAAAATCAATAAAAATTGGTTTAGCCGTCCTATCATGTAACTCTTCAAAGGAAGCCAAAATCATTTGTTGTCAGTCTAGTTGTAGCGGATCGCTACGCTAGTAAAGCCTCATCGACTCAGAAATTTCTATGGCAGATTCTCCAACATCTAGCTAGACTCCCAGAACAAGCTAAGCTATAGCCCAGCTATAAGGGAAACAGACGTGTAGCACGGAATACGTTTATTCGGTACGTCTATAGATAGCGAAGTGTTGGCAACGCAATTAGTTATCAGATAACTCTAGCATAATTCGTGTGAACATTAATAGCTAAATATTTCTGAATAGTAGCAGGATTTCTATTTGGTCATTGATGGATTGTCCCCCCATAGTGATCCTAAAGTGTTAAATTGAGTATAATTTTCGAAAAAGTTTGTTCTCTATTTGCGCCCTATTTCTGTAGAATTTTGAAAGTCAATTATTTTACAATCACTTTCCACATACTACAACTTACTAAGGAACAGAAATAGCTCCGTTTCAGAACATAATTATGTTTGTTCTCATATAGCACTAGACTGAAGAAATATCCTAGTTTGGAAGGGCACCCGAGCTTGAAAAATCGCAATGGATAGGGAAGGAAGACGTACTGTTAGTGAAGCGGTTACTAAAATTATTATCTCAGCAAACATGATTAGTAATCGCATGCATCTAGCATTATTTGAATGAAAATTAATGACTGATTATCTGAGCAGTGCTTTGTGTGCACGGCCGCACATTCCGGAATATTCGTGTGAGGATTGAGTACTCCACAGCGTACATATTTTTTGCTAATTTCTTTGGTTAATTCAAATAGGAATAGATGCTCGGGTATTTTAAAAGATCGGATCCAAAAAACCTTAAAATACTCAGTAATTTTCATGAACCTATTAATACGTACTGCAGCCCAACTTAATAAGTAATGTCAAAAAGATTAAAAGACGTAATTATTTCCCATTTAACATCTCGAATTTCAGATTAAAAGTTCAATTTATAATTCTTCTTTCATTTGGAATAAGTTATCATGACTTTACTTTAGTACCAACATTTTATTTAGTCATCTATCCAGCTGTATTCAGCAATAATGAAATGAAAAATCTTCGGGCTTCATTGCCACTGTAATATTTACAACATCATCCACATGACTCCTCAAGTTTGCCGTTATTCTGACTGAAAGAATCCTGCAAAACTTGGATTTATGCGAAAAAATTCTTTTTAATTATCAACTTAATAAAGTTAAAACTGGTAAAAAGTCGAAATCTGCTAAAAGTAAGTAAAGGCTTTCACGCAATTACCTACGAAGTCTCCTTGCTAGCATGTGCGACATCAAGACCAATCATATCGATTTTCCCACAGGCCTAAAGTGGGGTTTCAAGCGGGTTTATCGTGTGTTAATTTAAATAATTAGATTACAGACCCGTATTTATCTCTGGAATGTTAGCAAACAGATCATCTAAACATGTGATATACTTTCCATAAAATGAGCGTCCAAAAGTACCAAAAAGCAAGAAGTAAAAACATGAATGTTAATTATTGCGTTTTTTAATTCCTTAACAATAAAATTTAAGATTACATTGGAGGGTCGAAAAATTAAATGACTTCCAACCTTCATTTCACACTGAATTTCGTTTTGACAGATTTACGTCCAAAAAGAGGGTGTTATTGTACAAAAGTGGGCACTAATTACCTATGAATCTAAGGCCGTTATTCCTTCAAACAGAGAATTATAGGAATTTTCTTTGAACTGGTTGAACAGAGCTTTAAGTAATCTGCAAGAACTAGTCCTTCCTCACTCTAATAGTCATACCTTTACTCCCATCTTTTCGAGCTTACCTGAGTAGTGTCATGTAACTTGAGCAGTGCAAACGGCTTCCATGAGATCCACAAGGCATTCCCTTTTAATTGAAAATCATTCATTCAGTTAATACAGACTCACTTCTTGTACTTACACTTTGGATTGGATAACAAAGCCGTAACGTTTGAAAACATAACTTAGTCTATCATCTATAGAAGTGATTAATTTATTATTTACAGTAAAATCTAATTCTCATATCAACTCGTCTTTAAAATAGCAATTTTGAAGTGGGGCTGGGCAAAATCTACTCTGACCTCGGGACCTTCGTGTAGTTGTTGTCTAAGTAGAACAAATAAATTCAACTGAAAGTAAAGAATCTTCAAAATGCCTCCTTTCAAAGAAATAACACCCACCAATCAAATCAATGATTCTCCCTCAGTCCTGGTAATAATGGAAAATGTTCAAATATTTGGCATTTTTAGACTGTAAATTTAGTGCAATTGGTTTATGGAAGATGTTTTCGTATCAGGGAGAGACTTAATAGACCATTCATTTTGTAATTACTTATTTGAATTTGTTAACATAATGACTTTTAGTCAAAATTTATGCCACAATCGATCTAAAACAAGGACTTAACGAACAAATGCAAGTAATGGCGATCAATAAGAATGCACATCTCAAACAGCAAATTAGAAATGAAAGTTATGCCCTGGATTCTGTAAAGGGTATTATTATTATAACTCTAACAATCCCCCTGATGGGCACGTGTGAAATCACCATTTCTTCCTTTAAAAAATCGATTTTCCCAAGGATTAAATAGAGGGATGCACGTTAACCCGTTTTTTGGATGAAAATAAAAATGTTTGAAATTCTGTTTTGCATGTACCTATTGTTATTAAAAAACTAATTTTTTTTCAAGTAAAAGATATTCTGATGTCAAACTGTGTTGGCAATGACTTTAATGACCCAATATTAGGAGTTCATTAAATTGCTGCCTTTTAGATGGAATTTGAAAATAGGTGGATTTGATAATTGTAAATCTTCATTTACGAGAAAAAAGTGCATTGTGAATATGAGTTGTAGTTTTTTTCTGATCACAGTTAAATATTCGAATTTAGCCCAATGAATCTTTAATGGATGCTGTTGTCTTACCCCAATAGTTCCCTCGGGGGACACGTGTGAGATCAACACCAATTAGAGCGAAAAAATCGATTTTCTCAGGGTTTCTAAAAAGGACGTTGAGGAATTATATTTTAAGGTTAAAATTAGTAATAGTGAAACCCTGTGCATATTTTAATTTGTTTCGTGAAAGCTTTTTTGCATTTTTATAGGGAATATATTTCGCCATAACCGTAATGAGTGAGTATTCAAAAATAGTCAAAATTGAAATTTAATAAATGAACTTGATTTTACAAGCAATAACAAGGTCCATAGATTAACCCTCGGCCCAACCTAACAATTTTAAAATTCTCGAAACTCCGAGAACTCAGGCGAAGGCCAATGAGTCAAAGGAAAGGGATCAGGTGATAGCGGTAATCAAAGCCAGTGAATTAGAAATCCCATATTATTTAGACTTTAGTTATGATAAACACAACCTTTATGCTGAGTCGTTTGGGGCTTCAAATTTCTAAATCAAGCATTATGATGTTTCGCCTGAGTTGTTGAGTAAACCGATTTTAATGGCGTTGAGTTGCCAAGTGAGCAGAATTTTTTCCTATTCTTCATAGATTACATTCATTACTTTTTCCTCACCATTCTATAATCAATGTTTCAACAACAGGCCCCTGGGTCAGCAAAAATTATGTCCGAATGAATTTAAAAGTTAATAGAAAACTGGTAAAACGAATTATGACGGATTAATATCTATCTTGCTAAAATACCATTCGCATTAGATAGATTGAGTGAAAAGATCAGACTGTCATAAACTTATTATTGGTATTTACGTCAATAGCGCTTACTTCATTTTTTTAAATAATAGGTCTTTAGAAAAATTCAGATAGAATAGTTTATTCTAACTCTGGTTAAGTCACCTTGCAGTTTTCAAGTTTAAAAATATTATTTATAATACTGCAAAATTTGATGGTTCATCCAGCTTTTACAACGATCTTGATGCTGAGATTAAGGAACGCTGAGATTAGCCAATAAGAATAGAGCTTCCCCTTTATAAGCTGAGTAAATCCCCCTCCCCGAGCTTATTTCCGAATAGAAAAAAGTAATGTTCAAAGGTATTACCGAGTTAATTAGCACTCTAAATCCATTCTTTCCCTTTAAATGCGATAAGTGACTTGTTCTTTCTATTTAGATTTTTCAATTGATTCATTACTGGGTCATAGCTTGACTAATGAATCGTCTTCTTTAAATGAACAAAATTCCCAATTTACTTCACTATCATTCAGCATAGACAGTATTCTTTCTTCTTCGTATTCAGCCTCTCCAAACGAATCTACATCCTTTCGCGAGATTTCTTCTCCAAAATCTTTGTGCTGTCCGAATGCCTCCATCAGTTTTGCTCCAAAATTTCCCTTTGCCGATGACTTCTTGAATGTTTGTAAAGTTGCCCCACCTTCGATAAGTGTTATTTGCACTTCTAGTGAGATATTCTTTAGCTCCTCTGTTACCATACCACCTCTTTACTCTATGGCTTGTTCTAATCCCCCTCTTGATAGCCATGAAGTATTTGTTAATTTTTTCGAACGGTTCAGAGCTAGTTTTAACGTCCGCGAATCCGTAAATGACAAATCTTTGAAATCGAAGTCCCAATTTTTGGAGTATGAAAATCTCTTGGAGGATGATTTAAAAGTTTGGAGATGTGGCATTTGCGAAAAATTGTACAACTCACCCACATCTCTTCGAGTCCACGAAAGGTGTCATTTCAAACCCTTCAAGTGCGAGTTGTGTGACAAAAGCTTTTCAAGAAATTGGTTACTGGAAGGTCATAGAAGGACCCATACAGGTGAAAAACCCTTTCGTTGTACTTGCTGTCAACGAACTTTTGCCGATCGTTCGAATATGCGGGCCCATATGCAAACACATGAAGAAGTCAAACGGTGTAAATGCTCAAAGTGCCCCCGTTCATTCACTCGAAGAAGTCTGCTCATTCGGCACATGGAACGTTGTTGTGCTTCCAAAGTAACATATTTCGCCTGATTCCAAAACCAAACCTTTTATTACTAGTCCTTTATTAATGCACTAATCCAATCAATTTTCATTTGTTACTGTTATATACTTTTATATTAAAATGTGGTGTAAGGTATGGCTTACTTATTTTCATTTACTTTTATTTAAGCAATCAATCCTTAATATGAAACCGGGAGTACAAAAAGAATGCTTTTAAGTACATGGCCTTTTGGGAGAGACAATTTATTTATGAAAATTTGAACTAAGTGGATAAAATATTAGTGTCGTGAAAGTAATAAACATTATAAAATAATAAGATATCTTAATTATGCTTTCTTTGAAAAAAGGATTGCGAAATTCCGGTCAGAGTTGTGAGAAATCACCAAGGAATCGCCTTGAATGTACTCGCACAATTAAGCTCTTCATTATCGATTGCTTAGAGAGTTCAATACAAGAAATTGTCCGTAAATAATCGGTTAACTATTAGAGATATGAATGAATGGCTTTGAGTTTTATTAAACCATTAACTTGGATGATAGATTTTAATCAGGTGGTCTATAAACTATTTAACTTAAAGTTTCTTTTGCAGTTACGTCTTTTAAAAATTCTATAGTTTTACTGACGTGTCAGTTAAAACGAAATTGGAAGGAATTTTGAACGGACAAAGACGGTGACACTTTAAAACCTTTTACGTCACCTATAAAATCTGTTCATAAAGTTTCAAGGACACAATAAAGATGCTTTCAGTCAACACGTAGTCCTCTGGTCATGCCACTGGACGCCTAATGGTAGAAAAGGAATTTACACGAAGAAGGTAGATAGGACAAATTCTTGATAGTGGAAGGTTATTTACGAATTCAAAATAGAATGCACACGAGGCGTTTTTATAAAGAAAAGAAAGGTGAAAAACATACAAATCGACTTTATTTGTAACAGTATTGAAGTGAGAAAGTATTTGGGCCACCAATGGGCAAATGGAAATGAGAAATTGATAGCTGACCAGTTCCAGCTAGCTGTTGTTAGTCGTTTAAAGGGAGGATATTACTGAGATGAATTACCGAAAAATTAGTCAATTCATCAAGGATGTTAAAAGTTTACGACCTGGGTGATGTGGTATTTAAGATGTCCTCTCTTAAAAAAGTGGAAATTTTGTTCCATTTCTTGAGGAAAAATAATCAAAACTTGCAACAATCATTAAGCATGCGCATTTGAATTCTAATGTTGAAATACTTCCAATATTCTACGTTTACCTCTTTACAACCTACCGACAAAACAGGTCACTTTCAAATAAGCGAAAAATGTACCTACTTTTTTAGGTTGCTGGCTTTATTCAGTATATTTCTACTTGACTGAGGTGTTAATAGCGTCTAATCCAAGTTTATCGCAACCTTAACTACGCATTTTCCCAGAGCTTATCTTTTGCTCCTGCAAGCAGCCAAAATCAGACGTTCAAAAGCTTTAACTTAACAAAATAACGATTTAACTCATTTGTGAAGCAAATTATGGCACGAATACTAATGCGATTATTATAAGGACGGATTCAAGTGATTAAATCCGAGATCATTCTAGAACATCAAACTCACTATTTTTCTCTTGCTGGAACTTTTCTGCTATCAGGTAAGCTATTGCTTTTGTAACATTACAATTTATACTAATAACGCTTACAGAGGTTCAGTGCATTTACTCCGAGATGACATCTGACACTGGCAGAACGAAAAATCCTTACCTCTCTTACCAGGAGTCAACAGCCAAACATACAAAGGGCGCAACAAAAGGGTTTGGAATGGGAATAATGGCAGAACGTCAAGAGTTATATTTTATTTGATTTATACAAGCACTGCTTTTTTCCACTTTCCGAGGGAGGGGACTGAGAGAGGGAGAGGGCTATACGTCCAAGGCTCCGCTTTCATGATTTGACGTATTACTTAAAGGAGATATATTAGTTCTTTAAAGCACAGTTGATCAAATTGAAAAATTAAAGAATCATTTTAGAAAATTTTACTACAAGAACATCAGTGTTATGAATTCATTTGTTAAGAGATCATATCAAGGTCACGAAATGGACAAAGGAATTAATAGTTTCAAGTCTTAGAAAGGCTTGAAGATGACGTAGTTTTACTTCAGTTTTGACTGCTTTCCCAGATTGTAACGGTAATATTGGACTGTGCTAGCCATATCGGCCAAAGTATTCTTGGGGAAGGACATATTTTCCAACATATATCCGGCCAAGTATCATTGAATTCTGATGCAGTATAAGAGGGCTTACAGTTAGTCGCAAAATTTGGAAGACCAATTTTATAGTCAATTACTCCAAAGTAAGATTGTTGAATCAGACAAAAATTTAAAAAATTTTATTTTACTTACAATTTTTAGTAGCAATTACCATAACTTAAAATGTCAAATGTAGGATATGGACAAATCCCGCATTTAGACCAGCAGGTATAAGCTTAAATGAAAGGAAGGGGAAAATTATGTAAAATTTAATTTATGGGGTGAATCTTGAAGATGCCTTAATAAATGATGAAAAGATTGATTCAAGTGGCAAGACCGAATTTTATTGACCAAACGGGTGTCAATGAGCATTGAGACATACAAGAAAATAATCATGAAATTAGATTTTGGGAAAGTGAAATACACATTTAGGAAATACTGCACAACTTGTGGGACACGTCATCGCATGCGTGTACACATAGGCTTGAGGTGCGGCCGTACAACTTCGCGTACTGATTGAGGACAAGAGCACGCAGCCAATAGCAGCTCAATGACCCTCATTTGTTTTATCAAATCCGCCATGTTGTATGACTGGTTTCCTTCCTGTAAACACTTTATCCGTGATATTCGTATTGAATAAACGTGCTCCGTGCTACATGTCTGTTTCCTTTATAGCTGGGCTATAGCTTAGCTGGTTCTGGGAGTCTAGCTAGATGTTGGAGAATTTGCCATAGAGATTTCTGAGTCAGTCAGGCTTTACTAAGGTAGCAATCCGCTACAACTCCAACCCAGATACCAAATGAAACAGCACTCTTTGATGTCTAAACAGTTCTCTCTGGATCTTTTTCGATTCATTGAACTTTCAGTAGCTCCTCAAAATTGGAATAGTAATTTTTTCCTTCTACTAATTGTCATGCTATTAGTTGTAATTAAATATTTATTACATAATTCTAACGAGAGTAAGCTATAGGGTAAATGTTTCCGGTTGACGTTAGTGAGAAAAACGTTGGTTCCGGTGCTTGTTTAGACATTCACGATGGCTTAAGAGTTGTATCTCAATATCACCTTCGCTATAGTATTATGAAATTGTTACCACCTTTAGATATTCATTTTTCGGTGTCCAAAGAGCATTTTTTACAGATTTTTATGAATCATGTTATTTGTTAGGGTAAATTGCAATTTGATTTTCAAGAAGATATTTAAATCGAAATAATGCCCACCATTTTTTAAAATGGGCGAAATTTTCGCTTAGTTTTCTAAATGTGTTATAATACTTTTAACCAATGATTCTTCTATTAATTATTGTCATGCTGATTTTAAAATTCTAGAACACAATTAATGAGTGCCTAAAAACAAAGCATCCTGATGTTCTTTATTCTCAATATTGACTTGAATTAAATTTCGTTAACGTGAACACTCACCATACCTGAAAATCAAGTATTTTGAAAGAAATGTAGCTTCTTGAAAGACGGTGGCGATGTTTTGTCCTTTACATCTTGAGATGGCCTGAGAATTCATCCAAACCACTATAAAATATCTTAGATATTTGAATAAAAAGTCAATATTTAATTTAGAATTCCTGCATTCGCGGGAACTTTCAAGAGTCACTTCCAAAGCACTTACTTTATTAAAAATATCGATAATCTCGAGATTCGGGGAGTTTTGCAATTTCACATTATTAACGGTTTGAATAGTTAGCAAGAAAATTAGTATTCGTTACCAGTTAATTATAGTATTTCAGAAAAAACGCGGCTTTAGGTGTTGACACTTCAAGAGAAGAAAATAACAGTTGCTTAGAGCTCAAAGAAGAGTCAGAATTTCTACATTGGTCAATTGGATAATTTGGGTAACAGCTCTGGATTAAGCAGTAGTTCAAAAAGCATGGAAAAGTCTCCTGCAGTCGACACTCGGATAACTGTTCATTTGAGTGATGAATGGTAGGTGATACTCTAAAGTGGTGTACATT